TTAACATTTATAAATCGACCGGAAAGGATCAATTTAGCCAATATGTACTTAAAACCTGCGCCTATGCCATGACAGTCAATCACTAAATCAATCAATATACTTCTGAAACTGTCGGTGTTATATTTCATGGTTGTTTACAAATAGTAAAATAACTGACTTTAAGTAAATACCTAATGTTAACGATTAAAATAATAAAACTATTATTTATAATAATATTCATTAGAACCACAATAATGAGAAAAACAACAGCAATAATTATAATAATATCAACAACAATAACAATAATAATAAAAATATTATTTAAAAGTCACTTGTTTTTATAAAGGCAAAAGCTACATATGCATTGGTAAATAGTTATAAACAGTTAAAAACTGATAAATCATAACAACTAACAATTACACAAAATAATACCGATGACAACTATATTTATAACGAAAATAGCATTTAAGCAGAATAAAAATATATTTAACAACAAATGACGTTAGGTAGATTAGGGTATTATGAGCACCTTTAGCAAATTTTGAAATATCTTAAAAAATAATTATGCTGGATCCAAAATTTTTTACGAATAAACAATTTTAGGGATCATTACTCATAATCCATTTAAGTATTTGGGCATCTGAAGTTTTAATCTTAAAAATACAGCATTATTTAATTAAAGAAACTCCAACCTGAAAATTGGAACTAATTTTTGGAATGTAATAGTTTATTATTAACTTTTTTATTTTATTTCGTTATTATACTTATTTTGATTTTTATTGAAGCATTTTGTGTTTACGCAAAATAAATAAATAAACAATAAGAATTTTTTTTTTCTTCTTTTTTTTTCGGTTATTATGGTGTCAAAAGCCCTTAGGGTATTATCTAATGGTTTGGGTAACTTTGTGAATAGTAATTTAAAAAAATTGTAATAAACTTTTTCAATTTTAATTTTTTTTTTTTTTTTTTTTTTTTGCTTAATAAGGTGCTTCCAGAATTTCTTAGAACACCGCGGAAGAGCATTTAGCTCGGAAGTTCATGCTTCCTTCCTTACCAATTCCGCTTAGTGGGCTTGATCCGTTGAAATATAGATATTTCAAAATTTTAATGTTGAAATATCTATATTTCAACATTAAAATTTTGCGCCATAAATTCTTTTGTATGTAATGATAATATTAAAAAAAAATAAAAAATTTTCATTAAAATGCTAATAATATTAGCGTTTATTTCTTTAATTAGATGAAAGCCGTTAATTCTGCGTATTAAACTATGCTAATTATACTGCTTTCTGTTATCACCACATAAAGTCAATTTAACAAATACAAAGCAACTTAAACTTCATTATTCACATCTTCAAAATCTTCTAGTATACTCATTAGGATTATAATGTTTTTGTGACCCCATGTTCTAGGGTCATAAATCGATAATTATTTGTACAAAAGTAGTGAAAAAAAAATCAATTTAATTTTCTTATTAAAAAAGGACCGACAAACCAACAATTTGAATTTTTTATTGAAAAAAGTCACCCACAAACCAAAAAGTTTGAACTTCTTATTAAAAAAGTTCACCCACAAACCAAATATTTAAATTTACCATTTATGCGAATGGATAAAATTTTAAACAATTTCATGAGTCTTATTTTTTAATTGGAACTATTATGTAGTTTTTAAGCATTTAACGGTTTATTGTTACATTGCAATAATCCTAATTAAAAGTAAATATAAAATTAAAAACTTTAGTAATAATTCTACAAGTATTATAAGCTACTGTATATATAAAAAAAAATTGCGTAGCATTCAATTTAATTAAAGCGTAATATACAGTTCTTAAGTTTCGTTTGACAAACTAAATCTAAGCTTGAGTTTCTCATACTTTTTACAGATGGCAAAAAGATCTTAAAAACACTTTATTGCTTGTTCTGCACACAGATTTATTCTAGGAGTTTCAAAGTTATTTTCTTATGCTCTTATGGTATTTTTTCTTCTACCAGAGAAAAGACATTATTCGAGATTTGTGGATTCATCTCATAAATGGTCAGAATTTTGGTTTACTGACCAAATAAACAATGCAGATGGTTATTGGAAGTTATGCAGCAGTTTGCACGGTCACGAAAAAGCGTTAAACTCAGTGAAAAAGTTTTGGAATCGAAACTATTCAAATTTCCCATCATGCAGTATTTTCTAAAATTTCTTTTTATGAAATTCTCCAGATTCTTCAAAAAAGCCTGGACCCGAGTTAAATGAAATTTCATGCAACCACACCATCTTGCTGTTTTAGTAATTTCACTTCTTTACAAATCTATCTGAGCTGTTCGTAGTTCTTTACAAGTTCCGGGATGGAATATAATATTTGATTTTTGATAACACAAACTAAATTCATCCAGAATAGCTAATAGTTTTTGAACTAGCAGCCATCCCAGTTGATACATCAACTGCCCTTTGCTTTCGTTCTAAAGATGATACAACATTTTGTCCACACTGCAGAGTCTTTCACTATCTTTTTTTGTGGTGCAAAAAACTTTATTCAAGTGATTGTATTTTCTTTGTTTTAGACATTTATTGTATTTGATTCAATTTTGAAAATTTAATTTGTTAACTTGTTACTTCTCTCTCAATTTACATTTTGATTACAATTTTCTTTTGATGGGTTCTCCTAGGAACAAATAGAGACTCTCCCTGGAACAGATAAAGACTCTCCCAGGAACAGATAGCGACTCTCCCAGGAACAGATAAAGACTCTCCCTGGAACAGATAGCCACTCTCCCAGGAAACGATAGCGATTCTCCCAGGAACTGATAACGATTCTCCCAGGAACTGATAGCGACTCTCCCAGAAACAGATAGCGACTCTCTCAGGAACTGATAGCGACCAACCATTTGAACTTTGAGTGGTATCCTGCTGTTATCTTCCAGAAATTGTTCTTCTGGTGGAACAGTTCTTTTTTTCTATGTGGCCTATAAAACCGTATGAAATTCTTCGTCCAGATTGTCTTTTTTCTTTTAGTAGTGGAAGTACTCTCAGCGTTGTTCAGTCAGTCAGTCAGATGATTATCAGCGTTGCTCAGTCAGTCAGTCAGCTGACTATTAGCATTGCTCAGTCAGTCAGTCAGCTGACTCTCAGCGTTGCTCAGTCAGTCAGTCAGTTGATTATCAGCGTTGCTCAGTCAGTCAGCTGACTATCAGCGTTGCTCAGTCAGACACTTTATATAATCTAAATCTTAGTAATTTTTATAAACTTCGTGAAGACTCAAGAAAGTTCTAAAAAATTTCAGAGATTTCATAAAACATCCCGAACATTACAGAAAATTCTAGAAAGTTTCACAAGGTTCAAGGAAATTCTTGGCTTCAGAGAGTCATAATACTGTTGCCTGCAAACACTACTTATATAGCATTTTAAATTTTGTGTTGTGGGTGACCTTTTTTAAAAACTAATCAGAATAAAACCCATTTTCATTACTTTTGAGCAAAAGTTTATCGATTTATGACACAGTAAAATTAAATATTTATAAAAAGTTAAAATAGTCATTACACTAATTTCATATTACCAAGATGCTCATACTACACGAATCTAACCTAATGTTAAAAAAATTTATTAAAACTATCAAAAAACATAAGTAAAAAAATAAATAATAAATAAATAAAACCGAGAAAAACAAGACGCTTTAAAAAAAAAACAAAGAACTTAATATTGTTACGTGCATAAACAAACATATTTACACATAAAGGCGAGTTTCCACTCATCCGTTTTTTCACGGGAACGGGAAAAGGAAGGCAAAAATAATCACGTAGGCATGCGTATTATAAGAAAAACTACGCATGCTCACGTGATTATTTTTACGTTCCCTTTACCTTTCCCGTAGAAAAACGGATGAGTGGAAACTCACCTTAAATACAGATATATACATACAGAGGCAATGATTAAAAATAAAATTGAATTAGCATAAACGAAAAACAACATTCCGATACCACGATCGATATAACCAGTAAATAGCGCCAATATGGCTATAACGAACTAAATAACAATTATGTGGCGACTATTTGAACAATAGTGTTTTTTTGTTATTGAACAAAATTTTTGTATAAATAGAGTTTTTTTGTTGTTGTCGGAAGACGAATTTGCGGTAATTATGGAACATGCAAACGAATGGATATTGCGCAATGGAAGTATAAAATCAAGTTTAAAGCAACAAAGGATGGAAAAAGAACTTAAAATGGAAACAAAAAAGCAATGTTATCAATGGTTAAGTTCTAAAAAAAGTAATTACTAGTATGAAAATAATAAAGAAGAAAATGACAGTATCGAAATTGAACCAATCAAATCAACGCATATCGTGCGTAAAATTGAAAATGAAATAGTTAATTTAGATCAAAAGACTGCAAAAATTGGACATGATTTATGAAAATAACTAAAACGCGTCTCCATACCAATGTTTAATGGCGATAAAAAGAAATATGAAAATTGGAAAGCTTCATTCTACTCATGTATTGATCAAGCCCCAGCCACAGATGAGTATAAGTTACTACAGTTACGTCAATATTTATGTGAAGGCGCATTAAAAGCAAATGAAGGACTTGGGCATATGTCATTCGTTTATGAAGCTGCGAAAGAAAGACTTAAAAGAAAATATGGCGGAACAAGAAGAAAAATCCTTATGTATTTGGATAAATTGAACAAAAGGGAAAATAATCCAAAACACGTTGAAAAGTTTGCGGATTTGTTAGATGTGGCAGTAACAAACATAAAAGAAGCAAATTGAAGAATTTAACAGAAGAACTTGGTGCTGGGACATTGTGCCATCAATTGCAAAAAAAGTTCCTGAGATAATGTTAATTAGACACAAACGATGGGTGTATGAAAATTAAACAAAAATCTTGAAACTCTAAAAAAGTTTATTGTTGAAGAAGTAGATTTTCAAATTGCGGCCAATGAAAATTTACATAGTTTAAAAAAAACTATTGGTAGCAAAGCACACGAAGGAAATTCTTACTTTAGTAACAGTGATCAAAAAAACAAAATAAATTG